GTGTGTAACCTTTGTATAAACATACATTCTGAAATTTCTGGAATGCTTTTTGAATTGTGTGGAGTTCAATAAGCACCCTCGTTCTGTAAATGGGATCTGGCCAGGGCTTGATGAGCTGTTGCCCAAGAGGGTACTTGAGTTGGCTTCCTGTCACTCAGGGGAAAGTGCCACGTCAGCCTTTGTGCAATGAGGGTGTATTCTTGCCACTAGTTACTCCTTCCCTTGTGTCAAATTTTAGACTGTAAGGTCTTCTGGACAGGGTCTGGTTTTCTTGCTTGTTGCTTTGTAAAATGCCTTGCATACTGATGGCACTATGTAAATAATTAAGAATAAGTATGAGGACTGATAGAACGGTATGCTCCATGAGCTCGGATGAAACAAACCAGTAAAAAGGTCTTAAATACCTTTCCCCTAAAAAAAAATCCAGCTTTTATAAACTCGGCTGAAGACATCAGCTACTTTGTTTGTGCGGAAGTACATTAAATCCAAGTGGGCTGCAGCTTGGCCAGCACAGAGCACGTGGAATTCTTTGTTACATGATGACAACTGTATTTTTATTTCATTCTGATGAAAATGCATGCCCATATGCTCAAAGCAGCTTATGTAATATTACAGTATGAAGAATACGAAAAGATGGGCACAGCCCATCTGTAAACCAACACTTCCACATTTATTCAGAATGAAAAACTGCCTGTGCAATAAATAGTCTTCTGTTTTCAGCTGCCCCCTTAAAAATAGCCTTGCACCTTGCAAGGGATGGTGCTCTCCAAGCCTCCTCTTTCAGGGCATCCCGTAGGATCGGAGCTGCTACAGAGAGTGGCTGTAATCTGTCTGAGGAGGCCTTCATCCAGCAAGCAGAAAGGACTGTCGAAGCTGATGTGAGGACCTTAAACAGCAGGGCAATTTAGTACTGGGGAGCTGCTGGTCCTTTAAGTATGTGAGCCCCAGATCATGAAGGGCTTTGAAGTCTAAAGGTAGGACCTTGATTTGGGCTTGGAAACATGAAGGAAAGCTTGTGCAGTCCTTTCAAGATGGATGACATATGCAAGACAATATACCTAGTAGAGTATGGGCCGCTGCATTCTGCTCTGATTTAAATTTCCAGGGTGCCTTCAAGGGCTGCTCCATGTGTGGCGTATTGTGATAGTCTGTTGAGCGGCCAGTGAACGGCGTCTGTGTGATTAGCCACAATACCACAAATGGAGCCTCTGATCAGAATCAGGATATCCTGATGCTGAGAAGGAAAAGAGGATTGGTCTGCTTGTGAGCTTCCATGTCACCTCAGATTGGTGGGGGAAGTGACAGGATACTTGCCTGAGCAGGTGGAGAGAGGAGAGGAGACTGTTGTGCAGTTTTGCAGGGCATCCGTGGCTAATGTTTGCTAATGGCTAAGAGGTGGGAACTGGGGTAAGTGTCTGCGCTTTCATGTTTGTGAGTGCACATCAGTGGCTTATCTCAGGCCCTCAGCTGGAGTACCCAGTTGTTAGGTTGCTGTGGGATTCAGCAGGTAAGTCCCCGTCATGCTGGGCTCCAGCCAGGACTGAACTTATAACAAATATTGCGTCCCGGGCAAGCAAAGTCTTTGGTAACCCCCACCTCTGTTTTGTTCAGCATTAATGCCTCATTGTTTAAAAAAAACAAAAACATTCGTAACCAGTTTCATGTCCTGAAGCTCTATTTTGTATGAGTGCTATCAGATAAACCTATAAAATCAGAGCCGTAAAATTGTATTGATTTGCACGTAAATGGTTTCCTGTAAGCTTTGTAATTTTAGTAAATTTGTTAGCATCAAGAGTTTGAACTGTGTACCCATACTGCATGGGCCAGTATTGGATCAGGTGGATAGAATCGTAGAATCACAGAGTTGGAAGGGGCCATACAGGCCATCTAGTCCAACCCCCTGCTCGATGCAGGATCAGCGTAGAGCATCCCTGACAAGTGTTTGTCCAGCCGCTGCTTAAAGACTGCCAGTGAGGGGGAACTCACCACCTCCCTAGGCAGCTAATTCCACTCTTGAACAACTCTTACTGTAAAACAGTTTCCTCTACTATCCATCCGGTACCTTTCTACCCTTAATTTAAACACATAATTCCGAGTCCTCTCCTCTGCTGGCAACAGGAACAGCTCCCTGCCCTCCTCTAAGTAACAGCCCTTCAAATACTTAAAGAGAGCAATCATGTCCGCCCTCAACCTCCTCTTCTCCAGACTAAACATTCCCAAGTCCCTCAGCATTTCCTCATAGGTCTCCAGGCCCATGATCATCCTCGTCACTTTCCTCTGCACCCACTCTGCCCACATCCTTTTTAAAATGAGGGCTCCAGAACTGTGGCCTGACCAATGCGGTATGCAGCAGGACTATGACATTTTGCCATTGGGATGTTATGCCTCTGTTAATACACCCCAAGATTGCATTAGCCTTTTTTGTCACCACATCACACTGGCTGCTCATATTTAATTTACAGTCCAAGATCTTGTTCACACACACTGCTATCCAGAAGTGTATTCCCCATCTAGTATGCATGTTCCTCATTTATGTTACCCAGATCTAGAGCTCAGCACTTATCCTTGTTAAATTGCATCTTGTTCATATCTGCCTACTTTTCCAGTGTGTTCCGATCTTGCCGAATTCTATCTCTATCTTCTGGTGTGTTCGTTGCTCCTCCCAATTTGGTGTCATCTGCAAATTTAATGGGTAGCCCCTCCACAACCTCGTCCAGGTCCTTTATAAAAATATTGAAAAGTACCAGGCCCAGAACCGAGCCCTGTGACACCCCACTGGAAACCTCCCTCTATTCAAACGAAATGCCATTGGCAACTACTCTTTGAATGCGGTTCTCCAACCAGTTCCCTATCTACCTAAATATCCTAGAGTCCAGTCCATAGCAGTGTTCCTTCTAAGCTAAGTTAGTGAGCTAGCTCACAGTTCTTTAGCCTCCGGCTCACACATTTTTTCTCTTAGCTCAGGAAGGATGGCTCCAGAGCAAACTAATTTATGCAGTAGCCAAGTCGCTTGCTCACAACTTTAATGCCAGTAGCTCACAAAGTAGAATTTTTGCTTGCAAGACTCCACAGCTTAGAGGGAGCAGTGGTCCACAGTCCTCTGCCCATCAGAACATCATGGGGAACCCTGCCAAAAGCTTTACTGAAATCCAGGTAAACAACAGTGGCAGCATTCCCTCGATCCCGTAAGCTTGTCACTCGATCCAAGAATCACTATGATGAAGACAGCCTGCTGCTTCTGAAGAGGCAGAAAGTAACTTGTACCTTCTCTTCACCACATCCAATACATAACCAACATCTGCATAGCAATTGCTTAATCTCAGGGGCATTTTACTGAGTCCTGGTTAATGTCGTTGTGGTGTGCCCATGCTGCACTGTGGTTATCAGGCAGAAGTCAGTATAACTGAACTGATGCTTTGCAGCCTAAAACCTTGCTGAACTTCCATGCAAATGCCATAATTAGAGGAGCTCAGGAGGACAGCTGTCTGGTACCTGTTCCAGATTGGTAGCTGTGTTAAGTCTGTAGCAGCAGTATAAAACAGGAATCCCCTGACACCTTAAAGGCTACTCATTTATTCCAGCATAAGCTTTCCCTCGGAGCTCACTTCGTCCTATGCCTAAGCGTGTAGGAGCCATTAAGCTCCATTCTATATAGGCAACAAAAGAAGTGTGTATGTTACAAGGAGAGGCTGCTTCAAAACAAAGATCCAAGGAGTCATAGATTTGGGCCTTTCTAAGAGTGACTTTGGAGCTGCGGTGGCTCAAGTAGTTAAGACGCTGAACTGCAGGCTGTGGAAGGTCAGTAGTTCAGCAGTTTAAGACCCGAGTTGCCACATGACGGAGTGAGCTCCCTCTCTAGTTCCAGCTCCTGGCAACCTAGCCGTTCGAAAGCAAGAAATTGTAAATAGATAAATAGGTACCACTTCGGTGGGAAGGTAACAGCTTTCTGTGCGCCCTGGTGCTTAGTCACGCCAGCCACATGACCACGGAGACGTCTTCGGACAGCGCTGGCTCTTCGGCTTTGAAGCGGAGATGAGCACCGCAACCCTAGAGTCGGACTTGACTGGCTGTCGAGCAAGGGCACCTTTACCTTTACGAGTGACTTGTAAGAAGGGCAGGGCTGTGGAGCGCAGGGCAAAGGCACAGGCCTCTCCTCTTTAGATGAGGCTTCCAAATTCCCTTGGTGTTGGTGTGTGGAGTGCTGCTTTGGGGAGGGGTGAATGAGGCAGGACAGGGCCATATCCCTTGACATCCACGTATTTTCAAGGCCTCTGTACCTGATGCTAAGCAAAGAGTCGTCTTCCCTACCGCGTCTGTAGGGCTGAGGAGGAGAGTGTCGTCGGATCAGTTGGGAGGGCGTGCGGGGCGCTCACACACTCTCCCCCTGGCTGCTTTTAATGGCGGAGGGCGGGATTCGGCGCTCTCTCTCTCTCCCCGGTCTGCCTGGTGCCTGCAAAGCCGCGATTCCAGGGGTGAGGCCGGGGGCGGCGAGGCGCGCGTTAAGCCGCGAAGCGCCCTCCGGCGTGCTCCAGGAGGAGCGAGGGCGGAGGCGGGGGGGGGGAGAGG